CAGGCATGGTGGCGCACGCCTGTAATCGCAGCACTCGGGAGGCTGAGGATCATCGTGAGTTCGAGACCAGCTCGGGCTACATAGCGAATTCAAGGCCATCCTGAATTACAAACATAGTGAGACCCTGTCTGGAAAAAACAAAAAACGGGGAGGAGTGGTGGTAAGAGGATGGGGGAAAAGGGAAAAAGAAAAACAACAAAAGAAATGCTGAGCAAATTTAGTCTGAGTTTCTGTATTTCTCTGGTCTTCGGCTCCAAAGTATGAGAAAATTAAAGTGACACGCGTTGGAACATTACATAATATATGTAAAGACATCACTCTGGTGCCAGGTGCACTAAATACATTTTCTTATTAGTATATGACATAATGACTATAATCAATACATCTGTAGAGACTGAGGGTTTAGCTCAGCGGCAACACTTTTGCCTGGCATGTATGTCCCTGGGTTTGATCCCTAGCACAGCAAAAGAAAAGAAAAAAGTCAACGCATGTGTGTATGTATATGGTATGTTTTGTTATATATGTAATCTATTTGTATTATGTCTCATCCCAAATGTTTCCTGAAACCTGAAAAGATCTTTTCTTAAGAAGTCCCCCATTTAAAACATAACATTTGGGATTTGTGATGCTCGTTTCTTACTTAAACATCCACCTGTCTTCTAAAACCCTCTTGGTTTGTTGTACATTTCAGAGATCCTGTAATAGTGCAGCCAGGGGGTGAGGAGCCAGTGGCAGAGCACTTACTTAGCATACGTAAGGACTTGGGATGGACCCTCAGCACCACAAAAAATAATGGAATTAAACAAAAACCAGTGCTCAGTGTGGCCTAGTGCCAACCTTCTCCACAGCTTCTCAGATCTGTGGAAGCCATTGTCATGGGACATCTCATAATTTCTGAGATCACCTGACAGAAGGCCAGACATTGAAAATGGCACTTAAAATGTTTGGGAAAATGCATCAGGCTGTACAAATATGACTAATGCACTATTTTGTATGTTTTATTTATTTATTTATGGGTACCAGAAATCAAACTCAGGACCTTGCGCTTACCAGGTAGGTGCTGTGCACTGAGCTATATTCCCTGCCTGTTTTATTAAAAAAATAAAACAAAATAAAAAATTTTTTTTGAGCCAGTGTTGCCAGATATGTAGTCTAGGCTGGCCTCAAACTTGCAGTGACCCTCCTGCCTCACCTCAGCTGCCCAAGTGCCGGAATGACAGGCATCAATATGCTGTTGCTTTTTGTTTCGAGGATTTTTTTTTTTTTTTTTTGGTGGTACATAGGGTTGAACTGAAGGTCCTTGCACTGTTACAGCCCTAGCCTTTTTTTTTTTTTTCTTCCCATTTTGACACAGGCCTTGCTAACTTGCCTAAGCTGGGCTCAAACTTTTGATAGGCTTCCCTTGACTTCTAAGTACAGGGATTATGGGTGTGAGCCACCGTGCCTGCTGATCATCAGCTTCTTTAAGTATAATAATGGCACTTTTTTTGGGCCAGATATATAGCTCAGCAGGAGAAGCGCCTGCCTGGCAAATGCAAAGTCCTGAGCTTGACTCCTGGCACCAAGAAATATATAATAATAATAATATTGGCACTTTTTTTTGCATTTTGTTTTGAGACAGGATCTTGCTATGAAGTCCGCGTTGGCTTTGGACTCATTATGTACAGTAGTTCAGGCTGGCCTTGAACTTGAAATTCTCCTGCTCCCGTCTCCCGAATACAGGGAGTAAAGCCATGCACCTCTGGCTGTAATAGCATTTTCAGAAGTCTGTGTCTTAGCCAGTGCTGTGGCACATGTCTGTAAACCCAGTGCTGAAAGAAACTGAGGGAGGAGGATCAGAAGTCTGAGTCCCACTTGGGCAACTTAGTGAGACCTTGTCTGAATAAAAGGGGATGTAGCTAAGTGGTAGAGCACTGGGTTTAAATTTCAATACTGTAAAATAAACAATCCGTCTTTCAGAGAAACATACTAAAATAGTGAGATGAAATGATTTGCTGCCAGGATATGCTTAACCATAATTTAGGTGGTAAAGGGGAGATAAGGGTGATAAAGGGGAGTTAAAATGAGGTCATGAGCTCATCGAGTGGTTGATTTTACCACTCTATCTTTGTATAGCTGGAATGCCACATGATAAAATGTCTTGACAAAACCCCAAAGGGTTTATGCAGAACTTGCTGCCCATGCACCAAAGCCATTTATAATGCACTAAGTGAAAAATTCCACATAGGAAGTAGATAGAACTGATGTGCATCACAGCTTTGGGGTCTATCTTTATGTCACCCTCAGAGCTGTGTGCCTGGGCCCTGGGTCACCACTCCTAGATTCTACAGCTTCATTTGTGGCACTGCCACAGCCATCATTTCACTCTGAAGACTTGAACTAACAACATCCAACAACCTTCATAGCAGGGAACATGCAGCTCAAAGGCTGACACAGCAGGATGGCTTAAGCTGAAGGGCTGTGCTCAAAAGTTGTAGGAATGATGCCTCCAGAGTAAGCACCGTGGGTGACCTTGGCAAGGACACACAGCCATCACTGTCTGATGGTGGGTGGGAAAGGGTGTCCCACGTGACAAGTTCTCTTTACCATTTGAACTCTGTTTACATCCATCCCGTGTATACATATAATTTAAATATTGACAATAAAAACTTCAAACAGAAAGCACCTTTAGGTCAGCTCATCCCATGAGATGTGCTGTGTCTCCGTAAGTCCCAGATACACCCACACAGAGCAGGACAGGAAGCGCCAGATGTGGGGCAGGAGGAGCAAACAGGCCGAGACCACCTTTGTGGGCACATTAATGCTGCCTGTTAATTTAATCCCTGCTTCCCAGACACAGGCACCATGGCAGGATCAAGAAAAACAGGGTTGGGTTACAGGAGGCCCCTGCTGTCCGCACCCTGAAGTCATTCGCGGTTTCTAGCATTTGGCCATTTAGTGAAAAGATTAGCAGGAAACCACATGCAATAAACAAGGAGCAGCCAATAAAATCACTTACGATCTCAGAAATGTTCAGTAAACATGTACAGAATGCAAAAACAAACAGGACTTAACAGGAGCAGGACTTAACAGGTCCTCTTTTTCACCTTCTTACTTGGGATCAGGATGTGTGTGTTTCAGTCAGGTATCTTGGGGCTAGAGGTGTAGCTTAGTGGTTCGGTACCTGCCTAGGATATCTGAGGCTCTGGGGAAGACACCCTCAAGGCCTGCACAAAACAACTTACATGTCTTTTTTTTTTTTTTTGAGGCAAGGTCTCACTATAGCCCAGGATGGCCTCAAACTCACAGGCAATCCTCCTGCCTCAACATCCTGAGTCTAGGATTACAGTATGCATCACTGCACCCAGCTTGAGTCATATGTCTTGATGCCAGGTGAGTCCCAGCTCTCTGTACCCTCACCAGCACCCCACCCAGTACTCCCCACAAGTACATGCTTCCCCCCGACACAGACATACTGTGGGTCCCCACTGCCCTCACTGGACAGCGCCTGCCTTTTGGAAAGCCTTCCTAATCTGAAAAGTTTCTTGATCATGACTCCTTTCCCAGCCCGGCCACCCAGAGCCCTGGTTCTTCCACTCCAGGAGCTGCTTCACCAGCCAACCAGAGCCACCCACCAGCTGTGGCAGAGAGGGCCAAGAGCTGTGAACTTGGGCTCAATCCCACCTGTGTCCCATCAACATGGCAGCCAATGGGGGAAACCCAGGACTTCTGGGGCTCTGGGTGGTGGGGGCCCTGATCCCAGCCCCAGCTGCTAGCCCATGCCAGCCTGTCCACTTGACAGAAAAACACACGCTGGCCGTCTGCCCCAGGGTGTTTCCAGAAGAAAAATTTAATCTAATTTACATACTTCTAGATACATCGATAACCAAAAGGTGGCCACTGAAAAAAGTTAAAAGGTCAATCAGCTCCCGTTATCTAGCTGGCCTAGGATTGCAAAATAAAAAGATCCACGTTCCTTCTTCTCTACACAAAACGCGTTTTTAAAAAAGTGAAGGTCTAGGGAGCTATACATAGAAAGCAACAGTGAAAAAGGGGAGGGAGGCAGGGGTGGGGGAGAAGAGTCCCACCCCTCCACCCTACCCTCCCGGCCCCAGAGCCCCTGAGGCTGAGCGTGGGGGGGGGGCCTTGACATGGCAGGAGGCAGCTGTCAGCTCTGAGCTCTTCCCAGCTAGGAAGGCCCCTTTTGGGGGCAGCCAACAAGGATTTCCGTGGCATTGTGGGCTCAGTCGGGGCTCCCAGGCCCAGCGGGCCCGCAGAGGGAGCAAGGCTTCCCCTGAGCAAGCACCGTGGCGTGATGTGGTTGTTCAACACGGGAACTGGGGGGCTGGAGTAGATCCCGGGTCTCAGGAGGTGCATGTGCATGTATGTGTGCAAGGGT